TCAAGCACAAAGCTAGGACGAAGCGCGTTTAATTAGCGTAAAGTGCGTTGCGTTGTTAAAAATTAATACTAGGAAGGATTATACGGATACGGGAATACACAAAAGCATATGCGCTATTAACGTGTATTATTCGCAAACCCTGGTGGTGCATAAGAAATTATAAATAAAATATTAAACTCACTCTCACGCGAATCTTAATCGCGGATTAGATTATTTGCGGATCGCAGTCGCGTCGTAAATATCCCAAAATTTTCATCACAAACGCACACAAGTATGAGTAGTATCAACAAGTAATAATCAATCATCATTAATTTCAATCGATTACACGCAGTTTGCCATCGCCTCGGATGAAGTGTAAATATTTCATTTCGATCTATCGATCAAGATTCCGACACAAAATCCGTATAATACTTTTTCCCGTAAATACCTAATCTCGCCTCTCCGAACTTATCTAAATTCGTCTTTTAGACGTTATATTACATAATCGACAGAACGGGCTTGCTTCGCAAACATTCCTAATAATACATACTCGCGTGCACCGAACAAGTAATAATCAATTATTATTAATTTCAATCGATTACACGCAGTTTGCCATCGCCTTGGATGAAATGTAAATTCTTCATTTCGATCTATCGATCAAGATTCCGACACAAAATCCGTATAATACTTTTTCCCGTAAATACCTAATCTCGTCTCTCCGAACTTATCTAAATTCGTCTTTTAGACGTTATATTACATAATCGACAGAACGGGCTTGCTTCGCAAACATTCCTAATAATACATACTCGCGTGCACCGAAGGGGAAAATTCCTCTAAGAAATTAACCGCGTAAAGCTCCGCTGTTACAGCCCTTAAGCCTCTCACAGACGCGTTCTTCCGCAGCAGTAGCTGCTGCTGCTGCTGCAGCGGCAGCAACATTAGTAGCAGCGGCAGCAGCACGAGGAAGACCCTTTTAATTCCGTGTCGGAATCACGCGGAAGAAGACCGTCGCGTATCTTTAGCAACCAGTGCATATTTCATAGACGTGCCGTGTGTGCGCATAATTTTCGTGCCATCGTCCTTGCACCCTTTCCATCGTCCTCCACGGCTTCCCTTCACCCTCCACCCCCGGACACCCCCGACTGTCCGCCCCGCTGACGGACGTTTTCTTCCTCGTGGCAGAAACTGCTCGCGCGGCCCGCGAAGGGCTTGGCGAGAGAGTTGATTAATCTCTACAATATTTAAGAAGAGGTCGGGAGCAAAAAGCTCCGAGCTCCACGCGAGGATAGCTCTTCCCCCGTGTACAAATCCCCCTGGCTAATCCGTTGTTTGCATCGATGTACCTCCCTTGTGTGTTTTCCCTGCGGTTGTCCCTGTCTTCTTGCCGTCTCCTCGACCGGCGACTTTGCTCGCCTTTGCCGCGAAATATATCGCCCTAATGGATTCCTAGGCGCGTCTAACGGAGGTAGGAATTAAAAAAATCGAATTTTCACGGAAAAAAATGCTTTTACCTGGAAAACGTTGATATGATGCACGATATGTAACTAGAAATTTTCATATATGTATAATCTCTGTATAAAAAAAGAACGGCGAATACTAAGCCCGAGGGTATATTAACAGGTGATATAAATTTCAATTATACATTAATTACAAGAAATGTGCGAGAACAAAAGATTATCACGCGTTTCGAACCGTGTCGCGGTCACCGATGGTCGTGGTTGAACACACCAGGATTAAGCTTCGAATGAAATGGAATAGTTTTATCGCGGAATGTGTAATACAGATGCAGCTCGCAGAATTATGGTATCGCTCGTAATGCTCCCTGTATATACATATAGGGTCGTCCCTAATTCGAGAGGATCGATTAATTTTTAATATACACGCGCGCGCTGTCAATAGCGTATCGATTTTAAACGCGCAATTTTAAAGCTCCGTTAAGCCAATTAGGATAATCTGCTATTAAACGCGTGTACTATGGATTTCAATAAATCCGTACGCGATGATGCCGCGTGACGATGATCGTCGTTGTTCGTTTACGTCGAAATATTTATGCGAAAACGCAAACTCGGCGGGATCGGCGGCAGATTGATAGACAGAATTGCGCGCGGCGCAACAATTGCATTACATAGTTTATCGTATCTCGCGGCGTTAATTCGCGGCCCGCGTTTTCCATCAAGGGATTTTCCATGCATAACTATCGTGGCGTATTTTAACAATTACGAGCTTGCGGGAAACGCGCGGATTTTCAATGGTAGCGCCGCTGCACAGACGGAATCTCGTCCGTGATTTCTCGAATCTGAGTTTTACGCAGGACGCAAAAAGAGCGTACAATGCGGCACGAAATGGAAGGAATCGCGAAAACGGATAATTACATTTGCCAATCTACCGCTGCAGGGCGAATCTATACCGAAGTTTATCGCACTTGACTGCAATAACTCATAGGTTGCGGCCACCGAAGATTTCCCGCTGGCACGTTTTCACAAGAGAGAACGTGATATGTATTCCGATCGATAAATCGATAGCATGTGCCCGAATATAAAAAACAATGTTTATACCGCACATAGGGGCGCTCTATTTTGAAAAAAAATATTATTCCATCCTGACGTATGCTCTCGCATCGTTGATCTGTCAAATTTCGAAGTCACGCGAGATAAGAAGGGTAAAAAATTCTTCGGGGTTTAATTGAATCAATTTAAGTTCGAGGATTCATATACTAAATGGAAAGTGCACGATATTAGCGTGTACGTAATTATTTATATAATATGCATACGATATTAGCATATATGTAATTACTCGATAAAAAAATTCCATCGTGTTTAGAGTGAAGAAAGTATAGAGACACCTTATAAAAGGAACCTACTCGCTGCCAGAGAGCACGTGATAATTACATTGCTAATAGCTGATGGGTGGAAACTTACACACAGTTTATCGCACTTTATTGCTTTACCATGAACGTAGCACCCTCTGGGTATTCTCCGATGGCGCGTGTATAGTTTGCTTTCTCTCTCACTCTCTCTCTTTCTCACCCTCCTTCCATCTCTCTCTATCCTGAAGTTTAACGCTAAACGTGCAAAGACGATAACGACATAACACGCGTGGGGGCACAATGTAGATATTAGATAAACGCCGCCCGTGCTTTACGAGCCATCATTGCCGCGATTTATTGCCTTCGCAATTTCTCGAGGTCGAATTTCGCGGTATTATAATTTTGATTTCGACAATTAATTGTTTACCTCCGAAGAGGATTTATTTCGAAGAGCGAGATGCGAATTTCGCGTAATATTCCTGAACAGGTGTATGCATGAAACACTAAGTATGCGAGTATATGTACACTTTAATTAATATGAATTGCTTAATATGCGTATTTAACATCTTAAATGATGAAACATTTATATTAAAGAAAGATAGCTCTAAGCTCTAATCCACCCATATCTAGATCTAATGTAATATGCAAGATAACCTATGATTCATAGAATTGCATAGTATGATAAAAATAGTAAATGTGAAAGCTGTTTTCGCATAATTAAAAAGATTCATAAAAAGGCTTATAAATCAACGTGATATAAACCTTGAGGAAATTGATAGTACCTTTTTTTATAAGCTCCTAAAAAGATCTCATTTTTGCGACATTAATCACGAAAGCAGAACGGAAAAATGCCACGAGTAAGAACTCAACAGTAAGAACACGCAAGCAAGTAATTATTGAGAATCTTATAAAATCTTGTTAAAAATCATAGCTTGACACATAAAAAATATCACGTCATACAAAACGTATTCTGAATTTAATATGAAATTGATAAACACACTATTCGCATTATTCGCTAATAAATAATTATAATTGCTTTCACAGATATTGTCACGTTAAAGATTTCGCGCATTTACACACTTAATATATACGTCAGAATTTGACATTTGATTATTACATAATACACTTCTCCTTTTATGTAAACTTAAATAAATAATTATACACGGTTAAATAATAATTGTTGTTGCCGAAAACATAAATATTCACCAATTCCGTCTGCACTCATATACGTACGTCAGTGTCTACTGATTTTCGAATTGTTCGGAAAAACACGAAAATATTAAATCGAGATGGACGTTTACGTGACTTTTTTCAGTTTTACTCTGCATTTTCCAAGCCACTTTAATGCCGAACCGCTGCAGACGGTCCACATGCATATATCTATGTTCGTAATGAAAATTCACTTCGGATTTCTTCGATTCAGCAAACGTCCGCCGATCCGTTTCTCTCTCGAGACGTCGACTCGTGGGACTCGGACCGAGTCGAAGAAAAACGTACGGAAGAACATTCTCGTACCAAAAATTACTTTCCGCATTGGTGCAACTTCGGCTGCATTACAAATACCCTCGTTTCCCCTTGTAAAAGTCCAAGTTTCGATTCGCGTAGACAAGAGATCTCGAGACAGTAAGAGAAAACTCGTTTGAAATCGTTTTCTAACTTCCTACATAAACGAGCAAGGAAAATTCTCCGAGTATCCGAAACAAATGTGTAATCTAGTGCAAGATGTTAAATGTTTGAATGTTTGAATATTAGTTACACAATGTTACAGCTATCGCGAAAGTGCGGGGTAAAAACACATACAAAATAATAAGACTAATCAAATATTTAAATTTTTGATAGATATCTATATCCCAAAAATATAACAGTATTATTATTATAATTGTATTATTAAAATTGTATAAGAGAGTTATTTAACGCAATTTATTTCAGTCAAATCAGGCGGAAGTGCCAGAAGGTTCAAATCGATAAATAATACGTGATAAAATCGAGATTAATATCACATACAAAATTGTTCGCTGAGCAAAAATAATTTTTTTTTTATCGCGAATATTTAATATCGTGCTTCTTTCATTGCGCCAAGGTAACTGGATTAGACACAAAATATCAGGAGGGTCACGCGTAAAAATAGATTTCCGATATACCAAGTGTATAAAGTAAATTGAGAATGATTCACATTACAACGGAATAACGAAAAATAGAGGCAGACTCGACATACCTTTGTTATGTTTGTTGATGCTTATCGCTTGACCGTCCTCTCGTTTCCACATTAATTTCGGCGGTGGATATCCATCGGCCTTGCACGTGAGAGTAATATTCTGATGTTCCCGAACTGCCACAGTGCTCTCCGTAGAAAGAGAATCCAATATATTTGGTGGAACTGGACACACAAGCATGAAAGAGCTTCTTTATACGAGGTTCAGAACAATTCGTTGTATAATTAATACGTTTATTAAATTACATGTTTATTAAACATTCCATTTCCTCATTTCAGATAAATATTATAAAGCATTCAAATATTCTTTATACGTTATTGCAACAATTAAATTTGGTATAAAGTAATAAATAAATATTTATTCACATTATGAATATTTTTTATATTACTATTTTATATTAATTATTATAAAAGAAATATAGTAAACCTATAGAAAAATTATTTAGTTGAAATTATTAGTGATATTTACCGACGACTTGAAGAAAGCCCACTTGGCTTATCATTGGATTGGTATTTACTTGGCACATATAATAACCCCGGTCGTCTTGTTGCACGCTATTAATATGAAGCAACCATGTTTTCTGATTGTCATGTGACACAGAAAACCTGGGTACTTTCACGACTACATGTTTGTGAATAGTTAGCAACATTTGACGACCAACATGAATCCACGCCACCTGAAACAAAATATTACAATTTATTATTAGATTAAAGTATATCGTAATTTAAATGATTATATTTCCTTCTCTCACTATTCTTCTTTTCACTCACAAAATATATGTATATATATATATATATATATATTGTAAATAAACATCTTAAGTTTGCGTTATCATCTTACAATTTTAAAAACAGTGATGATGAAAAGTCGATATAAAATGCAAAAATAACAAAAGATTCACATGGAATTTAATAACGAGCAAGTATTTATCCTTGCATTTTTCGTTTGAAATTATTGTTATGATTTATTGTATACGTCTTATATTACGCAGAGAAGTACGTCTCTCGTGTGAAAGATAAAATACATTTATTCGATTCGAGTTGAGACATTACAGAATAAAGATCGTGTTTCGAAATAAAAATTTTAGGACTTTATAAAATATGTGCTGTAGTTAAGTGCAGTATATATGCAAGTTCGTATATTTAATCCCCTAAAATCCAAAACGTGACAGCAAAGAGTTGAACAACCTTAACGTTGAAAATTTCATCGCGCCCGCTTAATACAGCTCCAGTAGACATCAGTTCATAAAAGCAGGAACCAGCCGCCCGTTTATCGCGCCACGTTCCTGAATATTTCCATTGAATATTTCCACATTAGCACATCGCCCGCTGTCCCCGAAAAATTCGCGGCGCTGAATCCTATCTCCCGAAAAATTCTCTTCTCGAGAATATGTGCGGGATACCGCCGAGTTTAGTTTATTTTTACGATCGACCTGCCGATCTCGTTTTCGTCTATGAGGCGAACATTCCCATATCAAGTATGCTACGAATGGCCGCCAATTCGACGAAAAGAGAAAGAGAAGATTCGCACGTAATACTCTGTCTTTCTCTCTCTTTGTGCGCGATCGCTTTAGATAAACGCTATGGATTATGCCGGTATTTTACGCGACATAGAGGTAACTCCCAATTAAAGCCAACGACTAAGCTTATTCAGCGACAGAGCTTATACACTTTCAAGGACTTTTGAGTTAACCCTGTACTTTAAATCTTTGTCTCGCTGCAATTTCGAGACGACACCTCGGTGGCGCAACAGCGCTTACTATTTCTCATTTTTTCTTGCTTGCAACTCTTTTTAAATATACCTCTTTTCTTAATAAGTAAGATAAAAAAAAGGTAATTCCATCTGGCTTAGTTGCTCTTTTATCCCAGTAGCATTTTCCTTTCTGTCTATCTGAGAAATTCGATATTAAACGCGATTTCGTTTGTGAAAGAATAATATAAAGATTGAAAGAGAAATAGAATATCTCGTAATTTCCAAAGAACTTGTTTTTCAGTTTTTAATAATCTAAAAAAAATAACTTTTTAAAGCGTTAGATATTGCCTTTTATTGCACGCATAGATATTATTCTATTGCAAATTAAAATTATAAAGACTATTGTTATATTGTGTTGATATATTATTCATCTTAATTTATTTTATTAACAAGATATTTTAACTCTTATCGTATTAATCCTACGTGATCGTAAATTACATTGATTTGTAATTATTGTTTAATAAAAAAATTAAACATGATTAAATTTTTAATAAAGACAATATGGAAAAATTAAATTTTAACATTTAAAAATTAGGAGATAATACAAATGAGGTAATTAAAGAAAACGCGATTTAATTAAATATTGTATTAATTAATTAAATTTAATCATAATTTTGCGAAATGATCCGTTTACTCTGGATCTTGCTTTCACTATTTCCTTTTAAATTCGTTATCGCTGCTTGGCACATCATGTACGGATCCGCGGAAATGGCGCTTCTTCCGCTTTTTTTATCCACCTCTTTTTCCGGCGTATATGTACTTCCTCAAATTAAGCCAGAAACAGCTTGTTCGGACAGGATAAATTGTATCATTTCCACTCTTTCTTTTCATTTAACCCACGCAAAATATTTCAACTTTTATACGAAATGTTATACCATTGTTCGTGCAAAATATATTATAACGATATTTCTATAATTCTTGAAAACCATATTTTTAGGACAGCATACATTAATGTAATTCGAAAGAATAATATTGTATCAATTTGCAAGTCCAGTAGATTGTCGAAAACTAGAAATTCAACCGTGTATGATTAATTAAACAATTAAATAATAAGCGTATAAAAACTCTATAACGGGAAACGTAAACAGCTTAGCACTAGATTTATTGTCACAGCTTGCTGTACGATGCGAGAAGTGATTTTATTTGACATTATTCAGTAAGCGAATTATGCTTAATCGCGAACCTAAATCCGACGAGACATTTACATTTAGAAGTAGGTGTTTCCCGTTTTACTCCGTTCTGAATTCTTTTTCCCTCAGGTATTTCACCCAGGAACTCGGCAACAACTCTGTCTAGAATTGTTCGTCTATGTACCGCTTCTCCTTTTCGTCGGCTCTCGGGTAAGCAAAAGTTTCAAGTACGGAAATCACAGTACATCCTGGGAAAGTTCTTTAAACAGTCAGACGCCACTGACGGCTCTCCTAACGAAGAGCTGAGAAGATGGATGGTGGTGGATCTCAGAAGCTCTTGTCTGCCAACAGGATTTGCCGGTTCCAGAGGATCTACGAACTCGTCAGATCTCGCTCCTAGCTTGGGAGTAATTCTGAAATCCGCCACGCGAAAATGGACATGGTCGTCTTACTTTTCGACAGATTTTCCTATTATGTCGTATTACAAAAAATTAACAAAAGAAGAAGAAGAAGAAGAAGAAACGACGATCACGAAATTCCGAAGGACGCAGAATCATCGTACCAAAGTATAGTTTCCATCGTTTCTCGTAATGATTAACGCCTGATAATTTACAAATCAATTTCTTTCAACTTGAGATTATAAATTGATCATTATATAAAGCCATGCGAACTTTCAAGATTAATAAGTTTTACATTACCTACATCTCTCGGGGCAATTTTCACGACGGTTTATAAGCAAGATCCACCGAGAGAAGGGGTGTGCACTGAGAAAGTTGCCTTCTCCCAAGATCTCTCAGAAAAGTCACCGTAGCGCGATACGAGAAACTTTCATAGTCACGCACCGCGGATGGCTCCTAAGTTCTAACGAAGAGGAAAGAAGCCGTCGAGAACGTGCAGGAAGATGAGTACTCGCTTATATAAATGTGTTTGCCGGAGTGTCTTGAAAATTAAATTGTTGACAAAAATACAAACGATTTCAGAGTGCGCGAGGATGAAAAAAAATCATGTGAATGAATCATAAGTGATAACAGCGCGATCGAAAATGACAATGGTGAAAATAGAAAATCGCATTTATATAGAAAAGCTACTTTCAAATACATTTTGAAAAGGAATAGGAATTCTTTTTATGGCTACGATATTACATCGATCTTAAACGGTATCGATAAAAAATTTCCGCTGATCGCAAGTTCGATTGAAAATCCTGGCAGTGGTTCAAAGTTAAATTCGACTGGATATCTTCTTCTCTTTTAAACGTAAAATATTATTCGCACAATAGAAATCCGATCGCAATGATAAACCGCACTAATTGCATGCTCTAACAGCTTGAGTTAATAACATTTCTTATCTTTACACTTTCTCTGAATCAAAGGAAAGAAAATATATATCGGGAAGTACGCGATAAAATCATATCTGCACAGAGATACGATATTTACTCATGATTTTTACACGAAATTGTAAAGAATTATATTTTCGCAGGTGCGCAAACATAAAATACAGATATATATACAAAATATTGAGAAACGATCAACTCTAAATTATAACAAATCTGTAGTGATCGTGACAGGTTGTGCGATATGGATATCTAGCTTTTACAATTATATCCTACGTATGATTTATTCAACTAACGCGTAAAGATTCTGTTTGCACGTATCGTTATCTATTGACAGTACGATGGATGATTCAATGCAATCTGGATTCATCGCGTTCATCACTCGGTCCGATCACTTTTACGCTTAATTCTCGTATTCAAGAATTCATTTTATAAAGGGATTTTTTGTTTGTTTGGTGATCGATTGACAGCCCGAAAACTGATAAGAGGATATGCAATAATTAAAATATAGAAACTGTAACGTGACTTTTATACTATGAAATCATTTCGATTCTTTGGCGAATGCAATCTGTTTTTGCAATATCGCTTTTCTATTTACGTAAACAAAAATTTATATTTATATACTATTTTTAGCCAATACTACATTTCACAACAGAAAAGGAAAACATAGATGAAATAATAAAATAAAATTGTAACAACATACTAGTCTTTGAATTAGATAGAGATAACTATATATGTATATGCAGTTGAAAATTTATAATTTAAAAATTTAACATTCAAATACACTTATAAAAAATTAAAGATTCGTATTTAAGCAATACTTGAGTTAATTTATATAATAAAAGTAATATACTTATTGGAGTAAATAGTAGATAAAAGTTTAATACGCACATTGACTAATATTATATTTTCGAATATAAAATGCAATATTATTTACTTGAAGTTTATAAATGTAATTTCTGTAAACATTATTTGTTGCAAAAATAATTTTGTGAAAATATTTAATGCGCGGATCACTCAACAAAAAATTACCGATAATTATAATTATTATAAGGCTAATGTTTCTAGAGAACATCATAGTGTCTCATGTCAAGGAAACGAAGATATTTGCACAACGAGATATGTTTGTTACAAAAATAATTTTCTAAAAATATTTTATCATTCAGCGAGAGAAATTACCGACAATTATTATGAAACTAATATTTCTATAGAGAACATTATACGTGACTTATCTCAAAGAAACGGAAACATTTGCATGATGAGATATATAGAAACGTTGATAAGTAAAAATTGTGTAAGCTAAGTGAAGCCAAACTAGTTTTAGTCTTTAGTCTTCTGTTGCATGTAACAGTGTCCAACTGGAAAGTGTGATCGCGTTTAATAAAAAGCATTTTACATCTTGTACCATAATTACGATGACTTTGTTGAATTTAAGAAAAAGGCAACTCATGTTCTGTAAGTTAT